GTTCCGTTATGTTTTGACCTTTGCCTGGATTTGCTTTAAAGTTCAACCGCACCTGCTCATGTCAGTAAGCTTTATGCGCAAAAAATGCTCCACTTCGTACTCACGCGCTCGAACGAAGGACAAGGAGATGTCAAGAGCGTTCGGTCGAACGGAACGTGGGTCACACCTGGGTCACAATTTTTTGAAGGAAGCCATGACGTCGGTCTCATAAGTTGTAACGAGAGCTAACCTATCCTTGCAATGTCCTTCGTGCCCAGTGAGGACGCGAACCAGTGTGAACCCGTTGTTCCGAGTGACATGCGACTGGGGAACTTGAACGTTTGAACATCTGAGGGTGAGTTCGCGCTTTCTCTTCTCTTCTTCTGGGATCTGAACCTGTTTCCACTCTAGCTTCCTGCGTCGGCGGACCATCGAAGTCGACAACTGTATCAGTTGTCCTTCCTTCCCCTTAATTTGCTCTCGCAGAGAACTCGCCCTATAACGCCGATTATTCTTCAGTCACTCTCCCGACGTGAACCATGCTCTTCCCTCCCCCTGAGTAATGGGCTTTTCGCAGAGGACTCGCCCTATAACGCCGATTACGTTATACTCAGGTGTGCAAGAGGGTCGCCATCTTGTGGCCCACGCAACTGGATTCATTGCAGTTGCCATCCAGGCCGCTCAACCTTCAACCCTACGACCCACGGAAGTGCCATCGCATCTCCCAGACTCGTCAATGCCATGTCGCCCTAGATCTTTGACCTTCAGTACGCAAAAGTTTTAACGACCATCTTTAGCCGCCGCCTTTCCTACGTGTGCCAAGTAAACAACCAGGTTCTGAAACTTCCCCTTCTATCGTCATCGTGCCCTCTTTCTCGTTGTGGTCCGTTCGTGAAACCGAGAAGACACGGCGTATTTCAATGGAACGTCGCGATGGAAGGGGAGGAAGTGGGTTCTTCGACTAGGATGTGTGCGGATCGTTCTATAAGTACGCTTCTCTTCTCCCCTCCCTTTTTTACAAAAGACTTTGCTGACACCGGCATACAGACCTACAAAGTCCACCCCGTTCTCATTTGCTCATGTCCTCTTCGACTCTATTCCACAAGACAGGCAAGGGCTAGCGCTCACCGCTTTCTCCGACCTTCTTTTCCCCTTCTCCTACTCGTGGCCAGCTCTGGGCTGCTGCACAAGATTCGTAATAGCTCGAAAGAAAGCCCTTGGTGGTTGACTCCGAGCGCATGGCCGAGCGGAGTATAGGCCAGTGCAGAATCCCGCCGTATGTGCTTACCCCGTTACCTCGTTCTTACTTGGATGGAGGATAGCAGAGAGAGAAACGGTTTCGGGATATTGGGTGTGGCGATCAAGAGCGATGATTGTCCTTGTTGGTGGCGCTCTTTTTGCAGAGCCGCCACGCCCTGTGTCGTCCTTTCGACCGGGGTAAGCATTCGCTTCCCTCGTTGTTCGATCTTTCAGTATTCAACGTTCAATTTCCATCCCCTGTAGCCGCTACCTCCACCTCCGTTGGTGATCGATGGAGGATTCGACTAGCCGCTTACCCTTTCGGTTTGTGCGTGGAATTAAGAACGGCCGTTGACAAAACCTTGTGCTGTGGAGTTCCTATCTGCATGGTAAGTCTCTCGAATTAGTTCCTCGAAGATACGAACAACACCACCCCTTTGACAGAATGACTACCCTTATCAACGATCACGAAGAGCCTCCGGCTTGTTGAAACGACTTTTGACTGCAACTATCATCGTGATACTGGTGCCTTTCCTTTCAACTGGGCCATTCACGCTCGCAACGTGACTCTTCACCCTCCTGTGGTCCGTCTTCTTGGTTCTCCCTTTCTGTCCTTACTCATCCATCTTGTCACGGTGTCTGCTCTCAGCCGGTCACAATTTACTCTCTCTCCGTTTGTAGGGTATGGAAGTTTCCAACTTGGGTTAGCGTTTATTCGGGAGGTCGTAAAACAACTTACTGTGCAGAATCTACGCAGAAAGACCCATGGGCCATCTGTAGCATGCCGTATCGTGTACAACTCCCGCGCTACATACAAAACATGAAATTCTGTTTCCGCGACAGAGGTTATATGAAACTTGTAGGAGTAGGAAGTAATAGCAGATCAGTCAAACGTCTTGGCTTTGCCGACGTTGAAGCTTCAGAGTCGCGTGTCAAATCAGAGACTGGGGCTTGCAGCCAAAAAAACCACTACACCATCGAATACCGCTACCAAGATGTACCAGACTTTACGCCCCTTCTCCTTCCCGTGGAGCAAAAGCAGAGCATACATACGCACCCCAAGCAAACCTGTGGACAATTGTTGTGAGCACTAACCCGACGCATGCGAAGCATCCAAGCATGACCGACCTATGCGCAATAGCCACGCCCCCCCACCCTCCATGGAAGTCGGCGTCCGCGCGAGAAGAGACGAATGCCCTCCGATGAGTATGGTGTTTTTCACCCTAGGGCCTTGCCCTTGGTAGTTCGTTATTGGCCGGAGAAACTATTGAAAAAGAAGGCAGGTGTCAGTACTCGTCGTCGTCGGCCACGCGTGATCCACACTTACAAAAGCCAATGAAGCGGTGGGTACATCCGTATGCGTGACGTTGCGGCAGCCCGTGGCGACGACGAGCTGCGGATGGATACACACGATGGAGAATCTATGCGGTGTGAACGCCGAGTTCAGAGGTAATGATTGCTGGTATCACAGTGGGGCCATTGAGTGGCATACCGTGTATGCCACGACACACAAAGCGTCGGGATGAGGTAACCGAAAAGCTCTGAACACTGCGCGAGCATTTGGAGGGGCGAATGATTGAAAGCCACATAGCTGGGCGCAATCGATGAGACGATCGATGTGAGGGGTCTGCCTGCGACCACTGGCAAAGATTCGATGTTCGACCAATGAGCTTGGTATGGAGGCGAGTTCGTTAACAGGATTAGACAATGGCGAAATTTCCTTCGTGAATCGATACACGAGGGAATGTTGCGGTCATGGTGGAGGAAAGACGGTACAAGCATCGAAGTTGGGCTTGCATTGGGGTTATGAAACCAGAACCTGAGTAACGAACGGGGGAGTTAGCGAACGAAATATCGAATATATGCGAGGTGAAAAGGCATCCAGAGGTCGAGGGAGGGATAAGGGTAGGAATGAATAAGGGCGCCGACTTACCAAAGGAGAAATGACCATTATCCCTACTTTCCAGCTCTCCGACTGAGGCTTGCGCTTATGACCAGGTGGACGGCAGTACTTAACCTAGTATGCTATCTTGGAGCTTATCGAAAGAGCATTACCGTCGTCGAGGTGGGCATCGTTAGAAACGCCACGTCTGCAATGGAAAGGCCGTTCAGGGCAGGCGTTGTCGACTTGTAGGAAAGAAATGCTGACGACCAATTCGAGCTAACCAAGTCTCCTCCGTGTTATGCAAAGTGGCTTCAAGCGGGTTACCGGGTGGTAGTCTAAAGATGGAATTGAAGTTAAAAAAGTCGATTGCAATCCTGTTGATAGCATAAACATCCAGTAAACGTTCCAATGTCAGAGTTTTAATTAGCGTACCCAAGTCGTACCAGTAGAGATGTGTGGTTTGCGGTCTTGTACGCATGGCGCTCGTAAACGGAATTGACAGGACCGGAACTGTCACAGAATTGTCAGCATATTAGCCTAACGTGGGCAGACGGAAGAAGAGGGGTATGGTTGCGGCACAGAAGGGGAAAACGAGCTAAGGTAGAAAGGGGAGTAAATCTAACGGAAGGAGGATCTCACTCAGAGCCGATGCACTCGAACATCTTCAGCGCATGCTTTCAATCTCAACAGCTGCCCGCTCTCTGTGGATCGGTACAAGTTGACGAAGGCGGTTATCGGGTTTCATTTTGATCACAGCGGGAGGTCGGGTCTCCAGGCGATGTCGGCAGTAGCTGAACCTAGAGAGGAAACATTGGACGACTCGTCATGAAACTCCATTCGACGAGGGGGGTTCGCGGCGAGTTGAATCCATGGGTACTTCGCGACGGGAAGCTGGCCGAACAAACACAACATCGACTTGACAACAACAATTTTGCAAGTAGGAGGGCCCATAGGTGGGTCGCAAGGTAATGAAAGAAAAGTAGTCGTCTTTCGCACAGCCACACGCAAAACAAGCACGACCGTGACCACGCATCTTCCTTTCGTTCGTCCCTTGGAGTTTCAATTTCCCTCAGTCTTGAGAGGTGTTCGTCGTTTTGCTTCTCTGACACACTTCTCAGTTGACCGCCATCCTTGTGGCCTGACTTGACACCGAACCACTGTGGGAGGCAAGTGGGAGGGACCTCAATCAGGAACGTCAGCTGACGGTGTGAAACGGTCCGTTACCCATTTTGAAGATTGACGCCGCACAGCATCGATTCTCTCTTCTGAACCATCATGTCTGATCCTAGTAACCCCCGCGAAAATCGTTTGAAACGCAAGCTCGAAGAATTGCCCGGCACGATCGCTGACCACCCACGCAATAAACGCTATGGTAGTTTGAGGTTAGAGGTCATGATCTCGCGCTACTAGATAAATATTAACGTGAATCTGTCAGCCCCAGCTTTGCCCCGCCTATGTTGATAACTCCATCTTCAACCATCAGTGCAGCGGACGTAGCCATGGCAGGCAGCAGTAAGATACATTTTAATCTTCGTGCGTCGAAGTGAGCATTGATTGCTCATCAAATCAAATTTCCAGGTGATCAGGTTGATGTCTCCGGGGGTGGAGGGCTCGAGCGCTCGCAACAAGTTTTACCTATCTCCAGTGGGTGGACCTGCATTACATAACCCCAAACCTCTATCATTCATTATTGGTAACACTGATATAGATATCGTGAGCTCTTACCTGCCTACCACTCCATCAATCACCCCTGTTCCCGAAATGACTGTTGCCTGTGAGATACCCCTCAATCTCTTTGCTGTAAAGTTCATACTAACCTTCATTAATTCTTATCTCACAGTTGATCAGATTGAAGGTCCTGTGCAAGGATCTGTTGATTCCTTGCAACACCCTTCTCCTATCTTGACAGGTTCATGCTTGCTCCAAATCTCTATATTCTATTTCTGATAACACTGTTTAGATTTGCCAGGTTCTGACCTGCCTATCTCTCTATCTATTCCTTCTGCTTTGAATGCAGAACTGATGCCTGCTAGTCAGTACTCTTATAAATATAGTTCAGGCTTGCTCAAATTAGACAGACCATGCAGAGTCCTCAACAAACCTTCAAGCTGACATTATAAACAATATTTCTGCTCAAAATGTGAACACAGGTCCTAACTATGGTTTGTTGCATTTGGACCATCAGATGTTATTGCCTTCACTTATATTTTAATAGGTACCATCAATCAAGGTAAGTAGTAAGAAAAACTTCATGTTCATCTTAATGTTGTTTGTGATTGGTAGGTGTGGACCCAAATATTCAAATCACACTTGAGACAATTAGAGATGACCAACTGGGTATTATTGCAGGTTCTTGTTGTAAATGTGTAGTTGACTTCATTTTTCTGTTACAGTGGAGAAGATTTATAAGTGGCTTGCTCCACACAAGGAGTCCATTAACTACAATGCTGCACTTGCAATTCTGGAGAGTCAGCCAGACACCTGTCAATGGTTTCTCAAGGGGAATACATTTCATGGGTGGCTCAAACAGCCTGGCTTCCTCTGGATCAAAGGAAAATGTAAGTTTTTTGCCAAAATTGGTAAATTTATACATTATTGACAGTCTATCCAGCTGGCTCTGGGAAAACCATCTTAAGGTTGATTATTTCACTGTTTTTATGAAATTAAATTAAATTTTCTCTTCACAGCTCAGCAATAATTCACAAAATTCTTGAGAGATTCAATTCTGCTACTGCATATTTCTTTTTTGATGGAAGAGACTCACAGGAGGATTTCCAGCTGCATGATAAACTACTGCGATCACTCATCTGGCAATTCTCTCTGAAGTGTGAGGGTAGACTGCCTAAAGTCTTAGTGAATCTGTATGCTGGCTGTGGCAATGGCCATAAAGAGCCAACTCTGGGTGATCTGCAGAATACTCTTCACATAATTCTTGATGGCTTTAGCTCAACATTCATCATTCTGGATGCTCTTGATGAATGTACTGAAAGAGAAAAGCTTCTTAACTGGATTCAGACATTTATTCTGGAGCAAAATAAAAATCTTGGGCTTCACTTGATAGTTACTAGCCGCCCAGAACAGGAGATTGAGGACAAGCTCAAGTTTTCTCATTATCTTGACTTGGTTAAGGAATCTGAGAATCATGATCTTGTAGCCTATCTTGACTATCAGCTTCAGAATGACTCTGACTTGAAAAAATGGAATTTTGACACTCAAGAGCAAATAAAGCTCAAGTTAATGGAACAAGCAGATGGAATGTATGTTTATTATCAACATCTAAATGACAGGATGATTATTAAATACAATTTTAGGTTTCGTTGGGTTGCATTACAGTTAAATGAGCTAAAAAAGTGCTGGACCAAGGCTGATCTCAAGAAGCAGCTAGGTGATCTACCCCAGGGTTTAGATAAAACCTATGACAGAATCTTGCTGGGAATCAATGAAAAAGCTCATTCCTATGCTAAAACTTTTCTACAGTGGCTGTCATTTGCTGTTCGTCCACTGACACTAAAAGAATTGGCTGCAACTGCTTCTATTGACCTTTCTGCTGAGAATGGACCAGAGTACAAATCTGATAATGAACTTCGAGATGTGGAGGATGTCTTGAAAATATGTTCTAGTTTTATTGAGAAATCAGAAGGTGTGTTTAGAAGAATAACAGATTGAAATGGGCACTGACTATTAGATAGGCTTCATCAAGCTTTCCCACTTTTCTGTCAAGGAATATCTAATATCCCAGTATATTCAAAGCCATCATGTGAAGCAAGTCAGATACTTCAGTTTCAGTGAGGAGCTATCACACTCTGTCATATCTCAAATCTGTCTGGCCTATCTTCTGCAATTCAACACATCTGAGCCACTTGATAAAAATCTGGATGTATCTTCCCCTCTTGCAAAATATGCTGCAGAACACTGGATCATACATGCACATTCTGGTTGCAATAGTCAATCTCAGTCATCTTCAATATTTGCATTGATGATGAAGCTTCTGACGGATGAAAATTATGCTTTTGTGAACTGGGTTAGAATTCATAATATTGATAGGCACTTTGGGATGAAGAGGGATGAGATTGCTAAACCACTATATTATGCATCACTAGCTGGACTAACTGGAGCATCATATGTTTTGTTGGAAATGAGGGCAGATGTAGATGCACAGGGAGGGCACTATGGAAATGCACTCCAGGCAGCATCATATGGAGGCCATGAAGCAATTGCAAAGCTGCTCATAGACAAGGAAACAGATGTAAATGCACAGGGAGGGCACTATGGAAATGCACTCCAGGCAGCATCATATGGAGGCCATGAGGCAATTGCAAAGCTGCTCATAGACAAGGGAGCAGATGTAAATTCACAGGGAGGAAGGTATGGAAATGCACTCCAGGCAGCATCATATGGAGGCCATGAGACAATTACAAAGCTACTTGTAGAGAATGGTGCAGATGTAAAAACTTGTCAGATGCACCCAGAGTATTAGAAAACAGGCTATCATTTATGACATGGAATAGTGAACATTTCATAGAGAATCTGGATGATAATGAAAAGATATTTTCGAGGCTTGATAATTTTAACAAGGGTCAAGGTACTAGCATTCTTGATATATTTTGTGGAAACAAATATTGGCATGAAGTTTTGTGACTTGAGTAAAGTTTTGGAATGGTATGACATTTTGATATCTGATATTGATTGAAGCTTGGAGAATAGTAATGTTTTAGTAGATTGTTTTGAAACAGCATTCAACCAGTTATTTGATAGTGAGTGAAAAGTTCTAACAAAGAAACCAATCATTAGTACCATCATATCATTGGGAGCACAAGGGGCAAACAGGATTCATCGCCTGGTAAAGAGGTAATCAAAAGCAGATAATTATGTTAAATACATTAGTGTTTAAAATGTTCAAATGAAAAAGATTCATCATTATTTCAACTTTGCAGCCCCAAGAAGATGATGTCAATTATGTAAAATATTTATTGGTGGTTTGTTAGTGCAGGAATGATCAAGAAGCAAAAGAATTTTTTTCCAGGAAAGGAAGATAAAGAAAAACCCTGTCTTACCTTGGCAACAATGATGAGGCAACTATTTAATGTCATTAAAAGATCATTCTGGCCTGAGGGAACAGGGACAAAGAATTAAAATTATCTCTCAGGGTTCCTTTGTCCAAGAGGGTAAAATTTGATTTCCTTTCTTGCTTTTTACAGTGCCAAGAAAGACCTTTCAATGACATTAAAAAGACTACACTACTATGAAATAGTTCAATACAAGGTGTTCTAGAGTGATAACACCTCAGAACAGGGTGTTGGAGTTCACACCAACCAAGGGTATTATTCCAATATGGATTAAACAATATTAATTCAAAGAGAAACACGTGAGCATATAACTCAACGTGTACATACCTGACAGGAGAAGTCAGCTAGCCATGTCCTTGAGAAGCATGATCAAAGAATGCATCATTGAACCAGGAGAGTCTGGCTTCAAGTAATATTCCAAAGCTTTCTCCCCACCAGAAATTATCAATGATTTTCCATATGGACCAAAGTTCTATGCAGTATCTATTCTTAGAAAGAAAATCACTAAGCAGACCATTCACCTTGGATGAACTGGCCATGTAGACCACTTACAGCAATTCCCATGTATGCATCACTACTGGTGTGTTGTATTGCCATGAGAAGAAAACACTACAAAATTTTAAAAAAAAGTCAGCTCAGTTGTGTGTAGCACAACTGAGCCACTTCAAATCTTTACTAAAAACCTTTAATTGGTCCAACCTCTTGGACCAAGCACAAACATGTAATCAAAAATAGAACACATAGAAATAGTATAAAAGGAGGACGTGCACAGGCTGAAACATAAGGAATTATCCCCATGTTGACCAGCTGTTGCACTCCCAGTAGCATCTGAGGTAGTCGATAAGTTTGTAATCAATTAAAGGACTATTTTTTGCAGACATAAGTAAAGTGTGCCCAGAACCAGCATGTTCAGTGGGGATCACTAGCTTTTGTAAGGTTGTCTTGTCAGTCAGTAAGAGAGCTCTCTACTACTTCCAAGGAATCCAAGTGAGTGTGCTTTAAGACTAGTTTGGATTGAGTGAGAGTCATAATTAAAGCTCAAGGGAGTTACAAAAGCACAGTTCTTTGTCATTTCAATGTATAAAGTTAGAAATCAACTCCAGAACACAGAGATAGTCCCAGTAAAAGCCATTTCCCTTTGAAAGCTATTTAAGTTTTGAATTCAATACTTGTGCCCACATGTTAAAACAATATCATTTGTTACCAATGGTCTTGTGTGTGTATGTCAATGGTTATTTGGATGTAACCTAAGGACCATGTTACATGACGATAATATGTAGGCCCAGGCTTCCATGGGTATGAGCTACCTAATTATGTAACTGTCCTGTTGTCATGCACTGCTTTTGTGACTTTCCGTTTGTAACACTAATCAGGGCTTTCAGGGGGGTCTGTGGCCCCTTACAATTGTAGGACTCTCAATCTGCTTCATCACCTATCACTGCATCTAGCTCTGATGCCACCCCTAGGTCAGGGTATTGCCAGCAGACATTCTTATGGGGGGACCCCCCGAATCCTGTCAGACTACACAACTGGCCCTAGTTCTTTCCTCAAACAGCAGCATTACACCACCTCAGATTTTTGTTCAGATCTCGATTGACAGATGTGTGGAGTGATCCAACCCTTCGGCTACTTGGTGTTGTTGATCGGCAAGGAGACTGGTTTACCAGCCTTGACTCAGTGACATGCACTTCATTTGTCAGCCTCACAGCCCATCCCAAACCTTCCAAACTAGCTTCTTTGGCAATATCCTTTTTTTCCAGAACAAGGGGAGTGATGTCACTGTGACTTCATTGTGCCCTTACTAGACTAGGACAACACTGAATGCATGCCACCTTAACTTGGACCAAATTATTGTAAGAAATTTTTAAAGAAATTTCAAATAACTTCACAGTGACAATTCTAAAAAATTGTAAAATTATTGTAACTATTCTGTGACAACCACTAGTATTATATAAAGAAAAATCACAATAATTTTACAATTTTTAAGACATTGTTACTGTAAAATTGTTTGGAATTTTTGTACAATTTCTTGACAATAATTTGGTTCAAGTTAATGTGGCTTGCATCCAGTGTTGCAAGTGTTACAAAATATACAAGACAGTTACCGATCTTCTACTTTAAGTTCGAACAAAACAAGTGTGGTAATTTGGTTTACCATACCAACCCAAACTCAAAGTACTGAGCATGTGCCAGTGGTGATAAGTGTTAGACTTTAGTGTGTATGTGTATGTTGTTTAGGTGTTCACACATCTACTTTCCACACTCCGCGTGTCACAGTCTTCTCAGCATCAGAAAAAATGAGTATTTCAGACTACGAGAAAAAGACTTCAAAACCCGATGTGATGTGTGACATGAAGACCCAGTTGTAATCATGCAGTATAAGTAAAGCAAGTCAGAGAAAGTAGTGCATGGTACCAGTATGTTTAACCTCCAAATCCGAGGGGAACAGCCTGAATCTTTTTTTTTGTTTGAATCTTGAAGTGTGTATTGCCAACTTAACCTTGAGATCATGCACATATCATTGGTCAATAGACAACATATACCAAAAAAGCATTCAAGCCAAAAAAAACTGGGGTTGCATAAAAAAACAAGTGTCAGTACTGTCATGTCATTGGGAGGGTATAAGTAAAGCAAGTCAAAGGTACGTAGCGTATCAGTCATTCCAGATCCATATTCATTAGTCTCTCCCCTTGCCGCCTTCCTTCCTTCCATCATCCCACCTTATGTTCGTCCATCCATCCCGCTTCAAAAAAAAAGAAACCGTTCCAACAGGCCAACCCTACGTCCTCCCCCCCTTCTCCCCATCAAAAAACGCAACCAACTGCCCAATCGGAACCTTCCCCACCGGTTTCGGCATCGGCATCTTCACCTGTAATCCCTCTTGACTTTGCTGGTGCCTCCTTAACAACAAGGGGTCCACGAACTTGGTACCCCCTCCTCCAAGACCACCGCTTATCATTCCGTCTCCCGTCCCAATGGAGCTGGTACCGGAGGAAAGTCGCTCAGAAGACCGGGACCTCAACTTCGGCTTTAGCGGCGCGGTGGTCCCCATGGTAGGAGTCTGAGTCTGTGGAGGGAGGAGGCTGGCGTACCCATACGCACTCTGTGCCCTGATCCGACGAGTGGACGGCGACGGTGAGGTCGTGGCTGTGGACTTGTAATCGCCACCTCCAGGTCCACCAGGAGATATCGAGTTTGACGCGGTGGAAGACAGACTCCCATTCGCAATCTTGAGCTTGATCCCAGAGGACTTGCCGATGATTTCTTCACCTTCTCCGAACTCGCCTGCTCCTTCGTCTTCCTTTTTCTTGTCATCTTCATCGTCCCCTACGGGAGAAACGGAAAAAGACCCCCCAATCACACGGGAGTACGACCGTGGTGTGCCTACCCTTTTCAATAAAAGAGCAGTAGCAGGTGGATCCGTGTGGGTATTAGTAATATTCGCATTGGTATTGGCGGCTGTATTGGCGGCGGTGGCATAAAACAAAGAAGCGGCGTTTGAAGAAAATTCATCCTCATCAGGCGCAGTTATCGGTCCTCCAAGCGCAACGGTGTACCGTTTCCTCGGCGTGGGGCTTACACTCGTTTGTCTTTTCCCAGCAGCCGATTTCGGCGGTGGCAATCCTTGTTGTGCTCCTCGTCCTTTGGCCGGTGCGGGTGTTGGGCTGGCCGTGCGTGCGGCAGAAGCAGAGGCAGGAGCGAACTTGGGTTGAGCAGGCGGGGATGGCGGCCTACCCGTACCGGAAAGAGAGGTGGTAGAATATGAAGCACCCGGTAGTGTAACCAGTCCTGAGGATGAATGGAGGGGTAAACCCGAAATGGCCGTGGACAAAGGCCTCATGGCAGAACTAATTGACGATGGTGGAGAGTTACCAGGGGAGAACGTATCTGGCGGAGAAGAATAATCCCCCGCAGGGTACGGTAACCTCGTGCCCGATTCTCTCCTCTTCGAAGTCATAGGCGGACTTGTAGATTCTCTGGCAGTGGTACTTGATGACCTGGGATGGTGGATGGGCGTGCTGGGTGCTGACGGTGATCCTGTCAAGTGCGTTGCAATTGAAGAAGTCGGATGTGAGTGCGTGACGATGGACGAAGTGGTTTGTGGTGCTACCGATACAGCGGCGGACTGTGCTTTAGGTCCTGCAGAAAGATTATTGGGGGCCGTTGCAATTTTCGCCATCTCCCGGCCTAGTTCGCCTAATCGGCCTTGAAGCTCGACCACCTCGTCTCGGAGGTCGTGGATTTCATCTTTCACGTTGTCCGTTGAACCCGGGTGTCTCAGCGACTCGGACTCGGATTCCTTGTCCTTCTCTTTCTCCTTCTCTTTGTCCGCTTCCTTATCGACTAACCACCTCAACATCATTCATCCGATCTTCCAGAGCCCTAACGTGGCCCACGGTCCATTTCTCGAGCTTCTCAAAGCGTTTGGCTATCATGAGGAGTGTACCTGGTACGTCTAGCGTCCCTTGGGATGTGAACTGCGTGTACAAAGGTGGCGCCTCGTGAGAAGGGGAGGAAGACAACGTATCCGTTGTACGCATGGGAGAAGGCGTCAGGTTGGGTGGCATATTCGAGAGACTCGGACGAGAAGGGGTAGGCGAAGACGGGGAGGAAGAAGGCACGGGGACGCGTCGGACGGGTGTGGTTGGGATGGTGAGGTTCACGAAAGCTGGATCGCTGAACTTGCCTTGGGCGTTTGCAGGCCACTCTTTCTCCTTGCCTTTGGCGTTCTTCTTGTTATCCTTCTCCCTCGCCTTCGCCTCCAATATAATTTGCTGAGCAGGCGTCGGAGGGTCTTTCGTAGGCATAAGCCTACTCTTCGCAGTAGACCACCAACTAGTAGCGCCACCCGACTCTTTCTGAGAATTAGACGGAGACGGTGGATTAGGCATAGTCTGAGACCTGGAGGGCGGTGGAGGGAGCGACTTTGTGCTCTCCATCATAGACAGCACACGGTCTTCAACGAGTCTCCTCTGCTGAGCCTCCCGTGTGAGTATAGCTTCCGCTTCTCTGCGACTACGGTCGCGTTCCCTCTCCACTTCAGCTTCTAGCTCTGCGTCGCTTAGCATAGGTGATCGTGGTGCTATGCCCCCCACGAATGTGCCAATCCTTTGAACGAAGCTGGCTGCGAGATGGGAGACGGATGATGAAGGTGATGGGGAACGTTGCTGCCATATCCCTTGGTCGTCCTCCCGGTCGTCGTTGTCGTCTGATCCATCGTCGGATATGGCGTCTGGATCGATGCCTGTTGAACTGTCTGGAAAGAACGCGTTTCATGGTGGCGAGGGTGGTGATGGTGACCTCCCTCTCGGAGGCTAATAGAAGGATATTGATCAGTGGGATAGTCGCGATCTGATGTTCTCCAAGACATACAATAGAAAGGGAATCAGCAGGCGAAGTCATCCTTCGTTGCTGTCGTCCATTCAAGCTCTGGCACGGCACTAGTATGTGTTGGGTTGTCTGAAAGGTTCCGTTGTATTGACGTTTGCCAGGGCATACATTGCTTCAAAGTCA